AACCAGTCGATGAGCGCCTCCTCGCCATAGCCGCTGAGCATGGCGTACTCCTTGAAGAAGCGCACATGCGCTTCTGCCGTGCCGTCCTGCTGAAGGGTGTGGATCTTGTGCTTGGCCGTGGCGCGGATGTTGACGTCCTCATATTTGCGCAGGAAAGCCGCGACCAGTGCGTCGGTATCGTTGAGCGGGCCGGTGTAAGGTTGGCCGCTGCGCAAGGTGATCTCCTGTTCCTGAAGCAGCTGATGAAACCAGCGGGCCGCGGATTGTTCAAGGAAGCTTGAGAAGACACGAATCTTCCTGCCTTCGTCGAAGGCCACGCCGAGTTCCTGACTCTGGGCGTACACGTAATGGCTGATGGTGACGGTGAAGTCACGCGGCTCCGGGTTGTACACTCCCTCCTTGGTGGGCACTCCGCTGAAGCTACGCGGCAGTGGCAGGCGAACTTGTTGAGGACGAGCGGCAGCAGCCTGAGCGGGGCCTTGTGGCTGAGGCGGCTGAGCGTGGAGAGTGCCAATCTCGGCCCGGAGGGCGCGGATAAGGCGATCCTTGGAGAAGCCGATAGCTGCGGCCAGCTGCTCGGCGGTGGGTGAGCGTGCAGCCGTGCGCGCATTCTCCTTCATGACCCAAAAGAGCGAGCCATCCGTGTGTTCGGCGCGGTAGAGGAAGAGGTCCGTATCAAGGCCAGATGGAAGACGGAAGTCGTCGGCGTCGTCGACATCCGCATGCCAGCCACCCTCCGGAATATCCGCGGGGTAATTGGCGGGGTCAACGTATGGCATGATTAAAACTCAGGTGGGAAGTCTTTGGGGTGTGTAGCGGGTGTGGGCGAGGCGGCGGATTTGAAGTTGAAGGTGATAGCCTTCGGAGTACGGAGGGGCGAGGGCAGCGGCGATGGTAAGCGATGCGAGCTGATGACGACCGATAACTGTGATGGGTCCCAGATGACGGCCGGTACGGGTCCGTCGCGAGCGAAGCGTAAGTGTTGGAAGGCGGGCTCGTACGTGTAGTGAAGAGTGTCTAGGCGGTCTTCACGATAGATGACTTCCAAGCCAGTAAGGCGGCTGTACTCTACCAGGAGTCTGCCGGAACTACATTCGATGTAGTTGGTGAGAACGACGGCGTGCTCAAGGTGAGCGCGTTGCGAGTGACGAAGACTGCGGAGACGGCAATAGACCCAACTCCTTAATGCAATCCCTGGGATCGAAAAGGGAACTACCAAGTTTGGTAGGGTAGCGGACGAAGCGAGGCGAGGCACGATGACGAAGCT